GCATCGTACTAATACAAAGGGGGATATGTGCATGGCATCGCACTAAATACAAAAGGGAATATGTGGCATCCCACTAAATACTAAAGCGGGATATGTGGCATCGCACTAAATACAAAGGGGATATGTGGCATCCAAATAAATAAAAAGGTGGATATGTCGCATCCCACTAAATACAAAGGGGGATATGTGGCATTCCACTAAATACAAAAGGGGATATGTAGCAGCCCTCTAAATACAAAGGGGATATGTGGCATCACACTAAATACGAAGGGGGATATGTAGCAGCCCTCTAAATACAAAGGGGGATATGTGGCATCGTACTAAATACGAAGGGGGACATGTAGCAGCCCTCTAAATACAAAGGGGATATGTGCCATCGCACTAAATACAAAGGGGGATATGTGGCATCATACTAAATACAAAGGGGATGTGTGGCATCGCACTAAATACAAAAGGGAATATGTGGCATCGCACTAAATACAAAGGGGGATATGTGGCATCGTACTAAATACAAAAGGGGATATGTGGCATCCCACAAAATACAAAAGGGGTTATGAAGTATCCCACTAAATACAAAGGGGATATGTGGCATCCAAATAAATACAAAAGGGGATATGTGGCATCCCACTAAATACAAAAGGGGATTCGGGGCATCCCACTAAATACAAAAGGGGATATGTGGCATCCCACTAAATAAAAAAGGGGATATGAAGTATCCCACTAAATACAAAGGGGATATGTGGCATCCCACTAAATACAAAATGGGCTATGTGGCATCCAAATAAATACAAAAGGAGATATGTGGCATCCCACTAAATACAAAAGGGGATATGTGGCATCGCACTAAATACAAAGAAGGATATGTGACATACTAAATACAAAGGAGATATGTGGCATCACATTAATACAAAGGGGAATATATGGCATCCCACTAAATACAAAGGGGGATATGTGGCATCGCACTAAATACAAAGGGGAATATGTGGCATCGCACTAAATACAAAGGTGATATGTGGCATCGCACTAAATACAAAAGGGGATATGTGGCATCGTACTAAATACAAAGGGGGACATGTGCATGGCATCGCACTAAATACAAAAGGGAATATGTGGCATCCCACTAAATACTAAAGGGGGATATGTGGCATCGCACTAAATACAAAGGGGATATGTGGCATCCAAATAAATAAAAAGGTGGATATGTCGCATCCCACTAAATACAAAAGGGGATATGTGGCATTCCACTAAATACAAAAGGGGATATGTAGCAGCCCTCTAAATACAAAGGGGATATGTGGCATCACACTAAATACGAAGGGGGATATGTAGCAGACCTCTAAATACAAAGGGGGATATGTGGCATCGTACTAAATACGAAGGGGGACATGTAGCAGCCCTCTAAATACAAAGGGGATATGTGCCATCGCACTAAATACAAAGGGGGATATGTGGCATCATACTAAATACAAAGGGGATGTGTGGCATCGCACTAAATACAAAAGGGAATATGTGGCATCGCACTAAATACAAAGGGGATATGTGGCATCGTACTAAATACAAAAGGGGATATGTGGCATCCCACAAAATACAAAAGGGGTTATGAAGTATCCCACTAAATACAAAGGGGATATGTGGCATCCAAATAAATACAAAAGGGGATATGTGGCATCCCACTAAATACAAAAGGGGATTCGGGGCATCCCACTAAATACAAAAAGGGATATGTGGCATCCCACTAAATAAAAAAGGGGATATGAAGTATCCCACTAAATACAAAGGGGATATGTGACATCCCACTAAATACAAAAGGGGCTATGTGGCATCCAAATAAATACA